TTTACTGTTTTATTCTTTTTTCTATGGCGTGCCATAATCTCTGAACCATCATGCCCCATATTTACGCCACTGCTTTGAAATGAGATTAGTTTTTTTACATTAAATACCATTTTATTCATGTGACAAGCACACAAATGATCGTTTTAATATTTTTATTTTCTGTGAAGATATTTCGATATATCTACAGGGTGTCCGAAAGCTAATTAGCCATACTCCGAGGGTAGGAATGAAGTTTAGCACTTTATCACCAGACTGAACCCATACGTAACGATATTAACGATAATAATATCTTTTAAATGACGTTCAAGTAGTGTCGACCTACATTAACAAATAAAACTGGTCGTGTGGTCTAGATCACGAAAAAACACTAAAGGGTTACTATATAGGGTACCATATAAATATATGTCTATTTATAACCATTACGGTACCTCAAGCTCTAGTATCCAAGGTAGAAATAAATGACATTCATTCACAACATGACTCATAGCGCATAAACAATTCATGTTATAATTTATCGTTCTGTTATTTATCGCTACTTATTGTTAGTTGTCACATAAGACGTCAACAGTTTTTGTCTTACTGGACCATGGAATATTTAAAGTAATGCTACATTCCGAACATCCCACACGTTTTTAAAATTACTTCCACAAGTTTTCTGCATGATATTTGTAGTTTTTAGTTGGAAAAAAATGTTGGGGCAGCTTGATGTGCGTTTGTTGAAAATAATGTGAAGTATTTATCGTTATGTTCTTAAATTCGACGGTTTTGTTTATCACTTTTCTTAGAAAACAGCGCAAAATAGATCAAATTGTCTTTTATTTCCGGTACTTTTTTTTGCTTTAATAGATTCCTTAAAATTTCCCGAATAGGTAAACAAATTTCCCGAAAAATCGTTTGAATGTTTACTACAAATGTATCCAAACGTTTTTGAAATAGATAGATTGAAAAACGAACTTAATATTTTGTACAGAGACGAGCAATTTCGTAATTTAGAAGTTTAAAAAGCGATAGAAATATACAAGGAATTTAAAATGGTATTTTCGGAAACATACAAATTGTTTTGTACAGTTTTAACAATTCCTGCAATAAGTGCCTCGGTAGCAAGAAACTTTTTGTCTCTTTAGCGCAATAAGACTTATAGCTGTTTTACATTGACAATTTATTGATGAATAAATTGACGAAGTTCTTCATNAATCCGCTCTAAGGTCATACATAAAACAATGCCATGACCAGTTAAGCAGTGTTGCACTCTTACATCATAATAAAATTCAAATTGGGTCCCACCCACCAAGCGATATTTATCGCCATTGTCGTAAAAACTTTTGCAGTGCCCTACTTATTTTATTTCGGGTGACAAACTGTTAGTTGGCACGATTTCGCGAACCATCAAGACGAAACAAAAGAATAACGCACCCTTGTGTTCGTTCATAGCCAGCTATATCGACTATTAAAACAAACAAAAAAATGGGTGTATTTTACAGCCACAAAAACATGTAGATGGAAAAGTGCATGTCATTTAATGAATATTCGTAGTAATACAGAAAGATTTAAGAACAATTGTTCAAAATAATAGCATTGCTGGAAATATTTCTAAATTTATTCTGCGAGTATAAACTATTTCCAGTATAACTCTACTATTTGGCATTTGCATAAATGATTTTATAAAGATAATACACGTATATTTTATGTCGATTACTAAGATTAATAGCAGCACTATCTCAATGACTGTCCACCCATATTGACTCATTTGTATGCTGATTTGTAGTATTCGCTATATCACATGAATTATATTTACATAAGAAAGGACTAAGGATTACGTTTTGTTACGAGAAAATCTGTTTTATTGTTTTATCTCAACATCTTCGTCGAATAAACATATCAAAATGTCCCATCAATACAATAACAATGAAATAATTAAAGAACATGGTAGTAACATATTACAAAGCCAATTATGAAAATTGTGAGTTAACTGAATATCTTTATCAACTTATGGCGATTTGTGTAAACAAACGTAAACAGAACCATCCGAGCTATCGACAGGTTCAGCAGTTCAAAAAATGTTTCCATCGCCTATCAGTGTGGTAAGTCAGTATTACAAACCAAAAAAGGAACAAACATTTCAAATTTCGTTCCATTTCAGTAGAACTATTACTAATATACGTATATAATTTGTAAATCAAATTAATTCATTACATATTCTCTATTTACCGAATTAGTTATTTCGTCAATACGCTTCACCTTGGTTTTATGTTTGCAAAATATGTTCTTGAGCTAAGTACATCTGTCAACAAATCGTTTAAGGCACTTAGAATTAAAACATTACTGACTCACTTTACAAATAAAGTAAATCTGTGCCGATATTGTTAATGACGGTGACAAAATTCTATGGCCAAGATCATTTGCGTAATCTTACATTCAAATTTATTTCCTTGCGCACAATGTCTATAAAAGTGGGTGGAAATACATACATTCAGAGGAAAATATTAATAATTACAAAAAATTGATAGAGCTAAAATTAGAGCAATTTCATTTAACTAAATTTTTCTAAACTTCAGGAACTGCTAAGAAGAATTCTGTATAATTTTGTGGTCAGTACTTTTTAATTATATCCACACAGCAACAGATGCGTTCTATTAAGATTTGCCACTGTCACATAGAAAAGAAAATCCATGATACATAGTGTAAAAAGATAGCGCGTACCCGCGGTCATGTCGTGACGTCACGTGGAGAGTAAATAGCAACGTGTGGATATCGTACGTAGTAAGTGACGAGTAGTGTCGTTGACAGACAATAATAGATTAATACGGTAACATTTTATATTTGTATTACGTGTGTTTGTGACTGATCTACATAAAAGTTTGTTTCGTATGATGATTATTAACATTATTGTCCATTAATAACGACTTTTTGAAATGCATTGTTCAATTTTTAGTTGTACACAGACAACCAAAGTAGGTCCTTTATATAAGGACATGTGTTTTCCATTTTACAAATAATAAAAATATTTCAAACATCTGGGTTGATATCTGGGATAGGTATATATTTAATTAAGACAAAAATATTTTGTTACTTTTGTTCAAGGCATTTTAAAGCATCAGACTAAATTCACAATTTGCTCTAGAAGTTGCAAAATGAAACAAAATAAGAGCCATCGAATGATTAAACGCCACTTAAAACACTCTCCACGTGACGTCACGCTCGAAGCGAACCGCCAAATTTTAGTTGGAGGGAATCTAGTGATGAGAAATAACTTTTGTCAACTTTGTAGGTGTTTACAAAACATGTTCCACTGAAATCAAGTTAATTTGAATTAATTTTTTACTGTTTTCATTAAGAAAAACAATAATATGACAACTGCAATTTTATATACATATATTAGTTTCGTTCATTCATTTGCTGAATTACTCTCCACATGACGTCACACGCCAAGCGAAACGATTTTAATTGACGGAAATTTCCTACTTTTTGTACCAAGAAAGATGACTTTTGTCAAGTTTTTTAAAAATATTTCTAAGTATGTACAAAATGCATATGTTCCCCTTAAGTGAATTTAACTGTTAAAAAGGTTTATGCATATTTAGTTAATTTATTGTTTTAATTCAGAAAATCAATAATTTCATAGTTTTATTTTTGTCTTAAGAAACGAAAAAGGCATTTTTGAATTAGGAGAAGAAAATAGTTAGTTTTGTATTGGCTACTAAATAAACCATGAGAAAATCGAGTCTTATTTTCACATACTTGAGTAAGAAAATTACTTTTTTTTTGAGAAACTTAAGGTACAAACTATTATATAATATCAATTTAAATTAACTACGAAACATTTCTAACTTTCTATTTTTTAATATCTATACTTTTTGCTTAGAAAGTTCTATATTTGAGCAACAATAGTATATACAGGGTGATTTCACTTTAAATACAGAAACTGCAGGACTAGATTCATTACCAAAAATAAGTTGAGTTTGCTGTATAAACTTTTTTCCTGCGGGACTTGGTATTCGAGATACAGGATGTTAAAATTTACAGAAAATATATTTTTTTCTGCTGTATCTTCATAGTGCGCTGACGGAATTCATTTAAATTTACTACAGCGTATTCACTTAATTAGACCTTTTATTGAATGTAATATTAACCTTGTAGCTCTAACCAGTGCAGTGGCGTGCTACTGGAGGTGCCTCCCCATTTTCCCAAGGAAAGATTACGCCACTGACAGGTTTTTTTGTAGAAATAATTTTATTTCTGGAAAAAATATCAAAAATAACATTAGCAAATAGAACAGGTAAGTAATTATGTAAAGAGTCCTACAACAATTGTTCAAAACTAAACTGGAAACTTGAACACTCTGTATCTCGAATACCACGTCCCCCAGGAAAAAAATGTATAGAGCAAACTCTGCTTATTTTTTGGCAACTAATCTATTCCTGTAGTTTCTGTATTTAAAATGAAATCACTCTGTATAACAAGAAATGTTTCTACTTTAAATTTCATCGAGTCAATTTTACTTTAAATTAATTAATATAATATACATTTATTACGTATTTCTATTCTTATCTTTTTAAGGAAGGAATAACTTCTCTAGTTTTGAAAAAACATAAAGAATACAATAAATAAATATCATTACACTTATTTTCAGGAACGCTACTAAAAAAAAAATAGTCCTGATATTCTTACCGCAAACACAAACTACTACTTTCTTCACAAAACCAAAAAAGCTCCCTGCTTTCCCAAACCCCATAAATAAATCGGCACACACAAAAACCAAAAACCCCCGGCCAATTAAATCCAGGCCTAAATTCGTCGCCACCCACAACCACTCACATCGGGCCCCGGATTGGCGTCCTGGAAATATGTCACATGTAAATGAGGTGCCTTAAGATCATCTCGACAACATATCACGGCTAATTGCTTTAACAACTCAGTGTGCATAAAATTCTAATTTCGTCGGTATCTCCACAAGCTATGCGCTTATTTTTATGATGTTCATCAGCGCGAGGACCGTCAAGATGGAATTTGACCGTTCCAACTTAGAAAACGAAGTCGTGGTTCCCTCGACCAACCCTTTAGTGTACAATCACTCGATGCTCAACTACTTCTACCCCTCGAGTTGTATTAAGACTTCCCTGTCGCCTTACCACGACTACCCTGAGGTGTACCACCATCAAGAAGTTCCCAACTTCACCGTCAACGACAGTGTCAGTTTCCAGCAGAACCCTCAGGAGTACTATTATTACCTGCAGAAGAGTTACGAGTATTTCGAGGCAAATCGGGATGAATCTCAGGCGAGGTGTGGGTTTTGGAACGCGAGTGTGTGCAATAATTCTGGTTTGGGGAGTCCCGGTGGTAGTTTTCACCAGCAATGGGGGTGCAGGGATGTGGGTTTAGGTCAGGAGTGCGAGGTGGCGGTTCAGGGAGACGCTTTGTTGGAAGACAACTTGGATATCAACTCACCATGTTCGGACGATTCTTCAGGTAAGGTCTAAGCTTGGAAGGTTTTTTTCGACAATTGATTGTGTCCTGTTTAAAACTAAAAATGGTTTTTTATCCGTTTTTACCGTTATAAATATTTTCCTAGATTTTTTTTTAAATAAAACACTTTCAATGTGTTGTTCGATGTTGTTTATTTACATTTATTTTCTTTCATAACGAAAAGGTCAAAAACAGTACAATTTTTTTATTAAGTACCACCTGTGCTAAAAATTCTCATATTTTTTATTATTAAGCGGGTATATACCTACCTACAGTTTTATTCTGAAAAATATCAGGAAGAGGTAAAGCTGCTAAAAATAATGGAAATTTTCAATATAAACTTATTTTGAAATCAAAAACATTTTCAAGAAACAGCGTATTGAAGCTGAAAATAATTGTTCCTTTTCTTATTTGTATCTCTGACTAAGAAAACAATTGTAATATACAGGGTGGCCAATTGAAAACGAAGCAGAGCCATTTTCAGGAACTACGTCAAGATTGTAGAAAAACGCTCAGACCCGTCGATTTTAGATTAAAGGGGGACATTCTTTGCTGGTATTTTTGACTCCGCCACTTTCACCCCCAAGCAAGGGTAAGCATCGCCCCAAAATATTTAAATAGCATTGGGGGTCGAGTAATATTTCTTTTGAAAGCTCTTACAATTCTCTTTACAACAGACTTTAAATTTTATAATTCAGCCCAATACTCATTAAGAATTTTGATTTTAAAGTTGAAACTTATGTACAAACAATTAGTAACGGTAAAAATGTCAGTCATTCGAGTTAAGTACGCCAATGGTATAAATTTAGTATTTCTTGCGTTACATTGGTTTTTGGCGATTTGTTATCACTTT